CACTATCAAATATCTTTTGGCTCAAAAATCTAGCATCAGTTGGGCGTTAGCAACAGATAAGGTTTCCAAATATCTATAAAACACAAATAACCACAAGACTGGGCTAAAAATTCACAGTCTAAAAACAATATAATTTAAGTAAAAAAAAGTTTAATTTGTAAAGAGGAGCTAACACCTTTAGGTTCTTCGGTTTTTTTAATACTCACTAGTATAACCAATTTGGTTGGTACTAAAAAGATTTAATGTTCAAAACCTGTCATCTTAATAATAATACTGCCAAACACATAATATCTGTCATATACACTGATCAGGCATAACATTATGACCACTGGCAGGTGAAGTGAATAACACTGACTATCTGTTACAGTGACACCTGTCAATGTGTGGGGTATATTAGACAGCAAGTGAACATTCAGTCCTCAAAGTTGATGTGTTGGAACCAGGAAAAATGGGCAAGTGTAAGGATCTGAGTGACTTTGACAAGGGTCAAACTGTGATGGTGAGATGACTGGGTCAGAGCATCTCCCACACTGCAGGTCTTGGTGGGTGTTGTTGGTCTGCAGTGGTTAGTACCTATCAACAGTGTCTAAGGAAGGACAAATGGTGAACTGGTGACAGGGTCATGGACGACCACGGCTCACTGATGATGAGGTTGACCTACTATAGATTAAACTTTTAACTTCTTTTGTACTTTTCAAAAGATTAAAATTTATTTGAATCTTTGTTAAAATGGCTGAAAATGAGAAACACTGTCCATTGGTCTATATGAAGAGAAAGAGTCAGGGGCTGTAGTGGTGATATCACACCTAGAGTGGTGAGGCTGATGAATTTGTCTAAAAGATTCTCTCTAACTCGTCCTCACAACCACAGTTTTCACTCCTTTTACACAAGGTTTTCACTGAATTGTAGACACATCTGTTCCTGACAGTAGAACTGTGGAAGCAAATGGATTCACAGAAGATGCTCAGTGAGCTGCAGAGTGACACGAGTGCCAACCAACTGCCACACTGACTCCTATGTAAACAGTATTAGGCAGGTGGTCATAATGTTATGGCTGATCAGTGTATATGAGAGTCATTTTCTCTGATAGTTTATGTGAAGCATGTAAAAAAAGGCAGTTTTACAGTTTTACTTAATTTATTCTTTGAAAACCATTTGTTGTTACATAAAGTGCAAATCTGATTTTGGTTTTTGCTTTACATCAAATCTTCATAGGCTTTTAAGTCCTGGGAAACTTGTAATTGTTACTGTGAGTATTTCTCTATAATATTAACTAACTAAAAAGCAACAATCAGAGTTAACATTTGGAAAAGATAACATTCTTTTTTGTTGAACCATTTAGCACTCACAGCTAGTCAGCTGTCAGATTTGATTGACAGTGGCTTGGCAACAGAAGGATACATCCCTTCAGCTGTGGTCAGATTTTGATTCAGATGTTGCTAAACTCAGGTGAACTTGGTGGGACATCACCTTTCCCAACTCCGGCAGAAAATGTTGCCGTCATGTCGGATTGTACTACTCATAATAAGAAGCTGAAAAAAATGAAAAGATTTTTCTGTGCTTTCTTACATCAAAGGATTATAGTAAATGGCATGATATAGCATATATCTCTAATACATATCTGGTACCATATGATGTTGCCAAAGATCTCGACTTGATACTAAAGCACACAGACACACAAAAGCACAGCAGCAGGACTCAATCAACACTGCAGATGGGCTTAACTGACATGCGAGGGTGTAATCTGACAGAGCCGGGAGGAAGGGGGGTGGGGTCAGAGATTTACCTCTGCAACAAGTAAAAGATTGACTGACACCTCAGCTCTTGGGGCAAGGTGGGGGTGGAGGGTGGTAAAGACCTAAACGGAGGAAGTGAGGAGGAACAGTGGGGGCAAATAGAAGGTAGGAGTGGAACAAACATGTTTTCTATGAGAACTGTACTGTTCTGTTTAGAATTTATGACATGATTGTTTATGAATGATGGCGTGATGGAGGATGTAACATCTTCCAAAGAACCAGGGTTTATAATGAAGCTATAACTATGTAGCTTGATTACATAAACTGACCAACAGAACATAATTATCAGTATCTCAGTAATCAAGAGAAATATAAATCATTTTAAAAATTGTTGACATCTCTCTCTCTCTCTGCTTTGCTCACCCTCCTCCCCTGCTCCCATTCAGTTGTGTTTAATCAGCCTCTGGTGGATGTGGATATTGATTGAGGGTCAGTAATCTGTTCAGGTTTGGTAGTTTGCCAGGACCAGACATGTATATGTGTATACATATATATATATACACACACACACACACACACACACACACACACACACAAGGCAAGTGTCCTTGCTTAGGCTGAGTCGAGCTCCTTTGGAGAAGCTTGTTGCTAAAATCCATACAACATCCTAGACATGCATGCTGTGGGTTGAATGTATTTGTGTGTATGTGTGTGTGAGTGTGAGGCAGAGAGAGACTGTGTGTGTACGCTGTAGCTGAGGGGCAGCTGAGATAAAGGCAGAGAAGCTGGAGAGACTGTTTTGTTGTTCTATTCATATGCGTGTCTTTGGCATAGATCAGATTTAAGTGTGTGTTCATTTTGTGCTCTAGAACTTTTTCACAACTCTGTATACATGTTGTTATGTGCATTTGAGCATGTGTTTGCACAGTGTGTGTATGCATTGGGAGGATTGATTGTGTTTCAGTGCTTCAGAGAAATGATTATGATTCTGTGCATGATTGTGTGTGTGTGCACATTCCCCAAGGACTGTCCTCATGCTCTGGACCTTAGCTTGCTAGCTCCCTCCATTCATCTACTTTATTCTCACAAACTACAAAGCAGCACTGCTCCCCAGATGCAACCCCCCAAATACACAACAAACATGTACAGACACACAAACACAGACACACTGCCCCCCTCCAGAGCTGTTTTTTTTTTACCCCATTGTGCTCTTTTCCTCTCTCCTTCTCTCTCTCTCTTCATCATGATAACAACAACACAGTTGAAGCCTCTTGAAAAGCTCACTTTGAATATCAAATTGGTTGCATGTGTGTGTGTGTGGGCAGTGAATTTTGGGGCAACTGCTGACATTTTGTTTGTTCACTGTCTTCTTTTGGGGAGGGGTGTTTATGTTTGTGTAACAGTTGTGTTGTTCAAGTGTATTGATGTGTGCCTGTGAATGAGAGCGTATGCAGATGCATCACTGAAGTGTTTTTTTGGATATACGTTTATGAAAGTGTTACCGTTTCCAAGTCAGTGTACACTGTGTAAGTTGTGGGGCCACTATGGCTCATGGGAGTTGCAGCAATGTTTCGTTTACCTCACTGTGCTCGGGTCTCTGTTGTGCACGTGTGTGGATTTATTTCTGTGTGGGTGGATTTGTGGTTTGAGGTGCAGGTACGAAATACCTGTCTCTGTGACTTGCACATGAACTCTCTGGGCTCCTTATGGGCACTCTAGCACATGTATTGTGTCAGAGTGCACTCAGACACAGTGATGTACACACATTCTCTCACAAACATAACCAGTGGTTTACAGTTATGTTAAGTCACGAGTGTATATTCACATGTAGAACACAAGAAAGCAATATGAGTATGTAAATAATAAAAATGACAACCTCACTGGGTGTCTATTGGACTTTATTGATACTAGCACTAGCAATGGATACTGGCAGTACTTCCCATATTTTTCAGTACATTAAAAATACAGTTATGGGTTGTTTAGGTTTACAGAAACTAAACTAAAACAAAGAAATTTACCATGAGTAGAAAGTGAATTCATTTGTTACTTTGTTTACAAAAAAGGCCTTCTATGTTAATAACGTGCTGTGTCTATTGCTATGGTACTGTGTAGGAAAGATCACTGGATGACTAAGAGCACAACAGTTTATGACTGTGCAATGTTAGTTAAACCAGTGCTTTGCTAAATTACCATTGTTGCCTTCTTTTTAGGCAAAAGTGTATTTCTAGCAACAAATACTGTTATCATCAGCACAGCTAAAATCTAAGCCTATTATTTTGAAAAGTTGAAAAGAGAGTTCACACCATTACATAACTTGTCAGTTTTCAAGTAAAGAGCACAGAAACATGTACAATCAATCTTTTCTCTTACTAACTTGACACATCTAAGGTTATATTTATGCAGAACTGGCACAGTAACAGTAAATGAGCTGTATTTATATAGCACATTTTCCCACTGGTCAAAGTGCTTTACAGGAGATGATACACCATTCACCCATTGACACACTGCATTCATGACAAGCTGCCACCCAACGGCGCTAGTCAAGCCACCAGGAGCAATTCGGGGTTCAGTGTCTTGCTCAGGGACACTTAGGCATGAGGGAGACCAGGAGTTGAATCACCAACTTGCTGGTCAGGCGATGTGAGCCACAGCCACCACAGTGCAATGCAATGTAAAATAACACATTGAAATCTTATGTGTATGTTTCTTTCTGATCCAATTATCAATTATTTGGGGCGAGTCAACATATATTAATATTATTGAGGTTGGGGCAGGATGTAAGTATGAAGTAAAGCGTGTCTGCTGTGGGAGTCACATATCTGCCTGAGCAGCTGGGAAGGCAGGTGAGTGGGTCTGGTGATAAGCACTGGCAGGAAAGTAGCAGACTAGAGGGCAGGTGAAGAATAGTACAGTAAATATAGGACAAAGGAAATGCATAGCTCATATCCTAAAGAGAAAAAGTGGAAAATAAAAAGCAAGGCTGAGGATGATGCAGATGAATTCATGACAAGCAGGTGGAGACAAGTGCAATGCCACAACTGCAATGCAAAAAGATAACCTGTGCTTTACAAAACCTAAAAAGAAAGAAAGAATAAGGTAAAAACAGGTGAATTCAAAAGAACAGAGTAGTGTTAAACAAAAATGCTCTGGTGGTTGTGTTAGTGTCTGTCTGTGACTGATGCATTTGGATTTATCTTCTCCATATAACCACACACTGTAGTACTTCTCAAGGTGGGATAATAATGTGTGTGTGTTTGTTTTTAGTTTGCACAGGGGGAGTACAATTCTAGTGGGTTTGACCTGAACGTGATGCCAGTTTGGAGCAAAAACATCACTGGTAATGGAGTAGTGGTCTGCATCATAGATGATGGTGAGTTGAACCTTCGCTGCATCAAACACGCTCATATTTTCAGCCACATATTTTCAGACTGAAGGCATCTGTGGGTGCACAGCTAGTACATACTGACTGACTTCGCAAATGTGGATTTACTTGTAGCCAAAAAATACATGCAAATGTGGATTTACTTGTAGCCAAAATAAGAACAATGTGGCCTATTGTGGTATATTTACGAGAACAAAATATAGATTTATACAGGACTCGCACTTTGTCTTTTTCTGGGTGAGTTCTAGCAGGTAGTTTCATTTAATATAATGCAGTTTGCATTTGTGTAGTGTGCGACAGGCTGCAGTGTGCACTATTAAAAAGATTTTAGATTGAAGACTTGTCATGCTTGTTGTGATGAAGCTGAACTCTGGCCCTCAGTGGAGAAGGTGAATGATTTATGTTAGCCCCCACCACCAGCAGCAGCACAACTTTCATCGTCATCTTCGTCTCAGTCACGCCACAATGAGAATTCATTTCTCTCTGATTGCTGGGATATCTGGCAACAAGGGAAATGAGAGAGTGGCGTCTTATGGGCTCATTCATCAAGAACTAATTGAAGCCTCACTAGTCTCAAGTGCTGATAGAGCTGGAGTAGTGTTGGAGTGTGCTGTTTGTGTGTGCTAGTCTTCATGTGACACTTTCTTTTTTTGTGCAGCCATGTGCCTCTGACACTGCAGTGTGTGTGTGAAAGTGGACAAGGTGTTGCTGTTCTAAGAAATGAATTCGCAAAATATTTGTGTGTACAAGTGTTTGTTTCTCCATTTGTATCATATTGCTTCTCTCTCTTCTGCATCCTTCTGCACAGACAGAACCTCTCTCTGTCTGTGTGTGTGTGTGTGTGTGTGTGTGTGTGTGTGTAGATATGGGTGGTGAGGGGTCGAGTGTGGATACAGAATGAACAAGCGGGAGAGAAAGAAAGAAATTAAATAGAGGAAGGATATAGAGGGAAATGTCAGGAGAAAGCAAGAGCAAAAAGGATTCAGAGAGAGGGCGAGTGTGTGTGATGTGTGTGTTAATGTAAGTGTGTCTGTGTGTGTCTGTATATGAGACACAGAGAGTATTAGACTTGCACCAGTGAATCTCCTCTCCTCTGAGGCTATTGTACTCTGCTCCCCCTTTTGTATTGATTCCACTGGGCAAGAGCTCCCTCACGCTTTGGCTTTCTCTCTCTGTCGCTTCCTTTCCCTATTGCTCTCATTTACTTGGTATTTTCCTTTTTTCTGTTCCTCCTTTGTTAAGTAGGAGGTGACTTCTTCCTCTGGTCACCTTCTTTTTTTCTTGCCTCCCCATCTTCTTTTTCTCCCTCTCCTCCTCCTCCCTCCCAGACTCTGCCTCTCACAACCAAAGGATCATGTACACGTTCACCTTTAGCCACCTTTCAGTCGATGCCTATTGATTTTAATATCACAATGAAATAAATTATTTTTCTTTGAGTGAAAGCGGCCCTCCTCCTCCACTTCACCTTCCAGTCCTTCAGTTCCTCTCTTTTACAGGTAATGTAATTGGCATCTGAGGATGGTCCACTACAAGCTTTGAGTCACATTCACTGTGACACCTTCAATTTGTATGCCGGTGTTTAGGTTTGTTTCTGACTCTACTCAGACTAGCCTGCTTTTATCGCTGTACTTCACAGACTCTAGCATGGACCTTAGAAACACAGCACATTTAAATCAGAAGCCTCATTAATCAACCATGTGCATTGTATGCACAGTTTTGTGCCTATAACACACATAAACTCTTTCCTAGCCATATAATCCAATTTGTTGGCTTCTGTCTGTGCTGGAGAATGCACATAAATTTAGCTCTAGTCCTGACCATGTGTACCAACACACCCATAGTGGTATCATGGGTAAGTAGTTCCTAAATTAACGTGCCAAAAAGACTATTGTGTGGCAGGATTTCATTTAGTACTGTGGCAATGTAAGGTTATCATATATGACATGTTAGTAAGGGGATGTTTGACAGCAGTCAGTGTTCTGCTAGCAAGGTGGCAACAGGCGTAGCATCATTTCAATCAATCTAGTCTCTTTAAGGAGAAACTAGCTGTGTTCCAATTCTGCAATATATATATACCAGTATACACAGGAAATGGCACAATACAATTTCAATACAATTTTAGAGACCCATCAAACTGTCTTTGTCAATGCAAAGTAATCTTCACTTAATAGAAACTACAGAATACGTTCATTTTGGGGAGGAAACCTTCACTACACATTTTATTTATTTTTAATAATGTTTTTTTGTGAACATGCTACACAGTAATAACCACATTAGAATCAGTTTGTAGTTTAGATTTTGGATACAACACCAGATTAACTGTGGCGACAACATTACTCGCATTATTCGTGGATGACTACAGTCATTTTACAGCAACAAATGACATGTGGAAACAATGGAAAGGCTACAGAACCCTGGGTAAAATACAATAACATCAGCAACAATGGAGAAACACATCAAATATGACTTGTTAAATCTGCTCCCACAGTGCATGCTAGGAAGCTCTAGTGCGCACCACGGATGCTACAGTATCTTAAACCTAATGTCTGGGGTGTTTTTTTTGGCTTCACAGTATGTTTCCCCTACAACAAGTAGCTCCATGCTAATAAGGCTTTGAAATGGATGTGGTTGACCATATGTAAATGAGCCAGTATGGGCATGAGCAGATGGCTGTAGAATAAGTGAGATAAAGGTGTGAGTACATTACCGTGCTTGATAAATACCACCTGTCTTGTTCCTATGGACAATTCCTACACACACATGTTAGACTTTCTCTGTGTCTGCTTGGATCAGTGCAGCTCCCAAACCCTTCCATAGCAGGAATAAAAGACAAATCTCACATGCTGTGTGAATCAACATAGACAGTAATCATTAGGCTGTCATCCACTGATTATGACTGGTGAGTGAGTTAAGGATATAGATTCATCAGTTAAATTGCATCCAGCCCCCACACCCACCTTGTCTCACAGTGCCCCTGTCACCCTACTATCAACACCAGCCTCTGTCCCTCTTGGGTGGATGCCCCGAAAGCACTTCCATATCGATTGCCACTTACACCATTGTCATTACATGTCATTGATAGACGGAGAGAGACAGGACTCACGACTGGGGAAGGGAGGTAGGATGGATGGACAGGTGGAGAAAGAGAAAGAGGATTTACACAATTTACACAAAGAAGACTGAGCAGATTTGAAGATTGTGGGATTTTGTAGTTGCACGTTGCAGCAGTCCACTGATAAGATAATGTAAACTCAGTATGCAGTAGATGCAGAGCTGTATTTATGTTGTCACACTGAATGTATTTATTTTGCTGATATAGTAGGTGTGATAAAAGATTTTATGGCTGATTATGAAAACTTACGTAGCTGCTGTCAGGGAATTGTTCATATCCTACAACCCCAGCTGATTGACTTAATGAGGTGTGTCCAAACAGTATGAAAAGCATTTAGTGTCTGCTCATGTTGTGTGTCACAGTTGTACTGAGTGGGTCAGAGACTTGCTGAAAAATTGCATCTCTGTCAAGTCACTTAAGATAAAGAACTTTTGTATTTTTCTGTACTTTACAATTTGCTTTCTCATTTAGGTTATTTTATCTTTGTGGTCACCATACATTGTCTGTATCTGGGAAGATGCCATCTAAAGACTTTGCAGAGCACCACATTTATTAAAGTAACCAAAGTATTAGTCATCCAATATACATACCATATTTTATCATTTCACAACAGCTGCTCTTATGTGACTTTCTGGTTTTATAAAACGCCATCAGAATAGCTTTGCATCAAAAAGAAGCAATCTTAAACTAAAAGAACAGCTTTTGTGTGAATCTGATTTGAAACACATACTGGGATGCTAATAATGTATCGTCTAGGGACGTGTGTTGATTTAACCAAGTACCAGTGCCAAGTTATCTTTAACTTGATTGAATTTGGTCATATTACTCAGCATCTGCATGTGCACTGTATTTTCCCTGTGCTGTATAAACAAAATAGGCCATCATTTCCCTAATCACTATGCATTTGAAAAATGTTACACACGAGCCACTGAATACTCAGCTGGGTGCTGCTGAGGTGTTCCACAGGACAAAATAAGAGTTACATGTCAGAGTTACATGAATATTTTTCACAAAGTAACAAACTCTCTGAAAAATATCTAAACAGAGTTGTTGTCAAACAGCCCAGAGATTCTTGTATGGGTATAATATTTAGTTATTACAACTAATATTTATTTCACACTGCAATGAAACAGGACTCAGCTATTACTAGTTTGTTAATATTTTTAAATGGTGTAAATGCTTTTTTAAATTATTATTATTATTATTATTATTTTATCTGTTGCAGTTTATTTTTAAATCCTTGGGCTTGTGTTTCCAACAGTGAAAAGCAACTGTGGAATAAAATAAAGCTCATGTCAGTATCTTTACATCCATAAATACTTGTGTTTGTATGCTCATGGTGTGTATGCATCCATGCATTAAGCCAAGCACCTGGCTTAAGTCCAAAGAAGTCAGAAGTCTGCATGTGCTTGTGAGTAGGAGGAGGGCTGGTAGAAATGACAGTGGCCGGCTATGCAAAAGTGTGTCTGACAGGGGAAGCGACGGAGTCAGCGCTTTTTTCCCTCCCTCTTTGCCCCCCGCTGTTCAATCCATCCAGCTGCTGTCACCACAGGGGAGCAGACAATCTATCAAGGCATCGGGATGCATTCTCCTCACCTGCGCCGTGCCTTTAATGAACAGGCAACATGATCCCGGCTGACAAGCAGGAAATGGATGTAATAAAGATTGTTTCTGCATGCTCTTTGCATCCCTGATAAATCACCTTGCTGCGCAACAGATACAGGAGCCACATGGAAATTTGATTTCACACGGCAAGGGGGAGAAAGAAGAGAGCAGTGGGGGGAAAGAGAGCTGCTATAGTGGCAGGGGGGG